GTCAGAGCTGACCAGTGACCACAGTGGCAGTGGTGAGCAGCAACTTTCTGGTCCTGCTGCAGAGGAGGGGTTGAATGATGAGTTGGCACGTGTGGACTCACCATCTCAGCCCGAGCCTGCTGCAACCGCCAAGGTCATCAAGAGGAGTGTGCAGAGAGGAGCTTCACCACATGGGCAGCAGATTGCAACCCGCGAGAAGAGAGAGGCAGCAGCACCCTCAAGGCTGAAGTATAGCCGTTTGGGAGGACCCAAGCAAGGTGCCATGGCGGTTCAGGCGGATGAGGGAGAGGATGAGGAGATGGCGTTCTGTTTCTTCACACCCTTACCTATAGAACCAGCCACATTGGAGGAGGCATTGAGTGGACCCCAGAAGGAGGAGTGGAAGGCTGCCATGGTTGCGGAGTTCAACAGTCTCATTGAGAATGGGACTTGGGAGCTTGTTGATTTACCCGAGGAGCGACGGCCGATCAGCAGCAAGTGGGTCTTCAAGGTGAAAAGTGTAGCTGATGGTGCGTTGGAGTGGTTCAAGAGCCGCTTGGTCGCCAAGGGGTTTCAGCAGAAGGAGAAGGTCGACTTCGGGGAGATCTTCGCTCCCGTTGCTAAGCCAGTGACATTGAGGACTTTGATGGCTGGCGCAGCTGTGAAGGGATGGCACGTGAAGCAGATTGGATATCACCACTTCTTTCCTCGATGGAGTGTTGCTGGAGGACATCTACATGGCGCAGCCCGATGGCTATGAGGATGGGACCAGCCAGGTGTGCAAGCTTAAGAAGGCCATCTATGGGCTTAAGCAAGCGCCTAGAAGTTGGTACGAGAAGCTGGAGGAGGTGCTGCTGGGTGGAGGCTTCAAGACGTCCCAGGCGGATCACAGCTTGTTTCTGCTTATAGAGGGGGAGCATTTGCTCTTGCTGCTGGTGAATGTCGACGACATACTTTTGTTCTCACCTTCCATGGAGCAGATTGAGAGGACACAGAAGCTACTGATGGACAACTTCAAGTGCAAGATGCTGGGGGATGTCCACTACTACTTGGGGCTGCAGATTGAGAGGGATGTTGAGAGGAGGTGGCCGAAGGTGCATCAGTCACACTACATCTCTGATGTCATGGAGCGGTATGGTGTGACTGGGGGTGGCACTGTGATGACACCATTCCCTGCGGGCTTCAAACTGAAGAAGGCAGCTGAGGAGGATGATGTAGTCGAGGATGAGCAACAGAATGAGTACCAGTCACTCATTGGGAGTGTGATGTATGCTGCTGTGCATACGCGAACTCATGCTTCATTCGGAGTGGGGCAGTTAGCTAGAGTTGTGCAGCGGCCCACTGAGGAGCAGATGGAGATGGCAAAGCACTTGGTACGCTACCTCGGATCAACGGCATCTGCTGGTGTTCAGTTTTCAGCTGGCGGCCAGCTGAAACAGATTAGAGCAGATGGAGTCACGCTTGGAACCTTGAAGCTGTCGTGCTTCACCGACGCCACATGGGCCTCAGAGGAAGAGGATCAGTCATCAGTTGGCGGCTTTGTGTGCATGGTCGGAGGTGGACTAGTGAGCTGGAGGTCCAAGAAGCAGAGTGAGATTGCTCAGTCTTCCAGAGAGGCAGAGTACATGGCGATGTACCATGCCATCAAGGAGATCATGCTCCTGAAGAAGCTGCTGGAGGAGATGGGAGCTAAACAGGAGGGACCTATACCACTTTTCTCCGAAAGCGAGGCTGCTATTGGCATGGCCAATAATCCTATCCTGAATGGGCTGAACAAGCACATGAAGATTAAGTGGTACTGGGTGAGGCAGATGGTGAAGGAGGGGATTGTTGAGCTTCACCATGTGAAGGCTAGCAAGCAGGTGGCAGATTTTCTCACCAAGAGACTTCCCGAGAGAGCACATTGGAAGTGTGCCAAGATGTGTGGCATGACATTGCACTAGTGTGGGCAGCAGTATCATGAATGCATGTGTGGTTGGGTGTATGAGAGTATGCATGTGTGTGAGTGTGTATGCATGCATTCCGTTAGTCTGAGGAGGAGTTTGTTGGATGCATGTCATTCTGAGTGCATGTCATCCTAACGTCCTGCCGAGTGCTCGTGCTATTCATGCGGCTGCTGGACGTTTCTAAGTCGTTCTCACTCTATAGACCATCTTAACAATTGATTCAACTACAAGATGGTAGCTAAGCCTAAGGCGCAACTTCCTACCAAGTGGATTTGCGTTTAGTTGAGAAATGAGTTCGTCGTAAGTCCTCAAAGTGAGGATCCTGAACTATAGACCTTGGAGCGGTGCGACGGTGATCCGGTGCGGCGAGAACTTGAAGTAGCCATATGCTGGTGCAATCCCGCCCGCCGTCACATGCGTCGTCGCCGAGAGCCCTCCAATGCTTTGTAGGAGAGAGCGACGTCGAACATCGACGTCGGCACGCGAACTGCCTGCAGCCGCCGTCGACCGCTGCACTCGCGCCTGGATTCCGTCGACACCACCTTCGACCTTGATCATCCCTCTCTACCTCGTGCCTTCGCTGACGCTGACTCATGCACCACCGTCGACCTCGCCGTCGACGCCACCTTCGTTGCGCACCGGTCGAGGAGATGCAGGACGGGAAGGGTGTTCCGTCGCCCACTGCGACCGGATGCCCAACTCGATGATCAGCAAGGGGATCGTCCCGTACTCGCCATCTGCGTGGCGTTTCCTTGCATCAGCCAAGCGTGTCTCCAAGGTGTCTGCTACACCCGCATCAGCTACGGGGTCGACCATGGTGACTATCGCTGCTGCCAGCCTACAAACGACTTAGTAGGTGCAAAAGTTGACTCCTATCTGAAGGTCGTGTGTTCGATCCATGCTCACCGCACCATGCGAAGAGTCACTCTACAACGGTAGTGAGCTAGACTATGGGGGTTGGCACGAACTACTACGAGTGATCGTAGCTTTGCTTAGTTCCTTAGTGCTTGCGCATTCACGGGAGAAATCGGTAAGAGTTTCCACTAGCAAAGTCGGAATTACAGAATGATTGAACAAACAATGACAGAATGACTACATCAGGCACCTAGCAACCCTGCAGCTAGCCTGTCGACCGCCAGCACAGCTTGGTCGACCACTTGCCAGCGTTGCGTAGAGGAGCCGCGCCAACACTATATAAGGGCGACATGCCAACAGAGCGGGTCGACGGCGTACCAACGATGCAACAGAGCGGCTGCCCATCGTTGCTCCGTAGAACACAACAGTGCGCACGCTCGTAGGTGCGCGCAGTCGATTCGCCCCATTTGCCTCGTTGGGCATCCGTCGGCTGTTGTCTGTGCCTGACGAGCCACATCGACTTCAAGATACCAGCCCGAAGTCATCTGCGCCATTGCGACCTTGACGACGTTCGCGTGCCTCCGCAGAACTCGTCGAGCAGGTTACCCGGTCGACTTGGTCGACCCCTAGGTGCTCTGGTCGACCCCCAGGTGCCTCCGGTCGACCACCGGGTCCCTCTGGTCGACCACCAGGTGCTCCAGGTCGACCACAGCTCCCGTCGAGCTACCCCCTGGTCGATGGACCCCTTCTGTCGACCAGAATAATCAACGGTTGTCGCCGAGCTCCCCTCGTCAACCGCTGCTCACTTGTCAGGTCGACGGACTGCTCCGTTGACCTCCTAGTCGAACTGCAGGTCGACGGAGACCTCCCGGTCGAACTGCCCCTCCTGGTCGACGGCCCACCCGTCGCCCAGACCAGTCAGTTGCAGCTCTTGAGCTCCCTGGTCGACAGCAATACCATAGCGGTCCCCAGCAGCTCGACAAAGCCTGTCGAGCAGCTCCCACTGTTAACGGTCGGCTGCTGCTCCCATGGATCCATCCAAGTCGTCGGCGTTGCCCAAGCGAAGGCGGGGCCAACACTCCATTCCCGTTAACAAGACTCCCCTTAGCAGGGATGTTCTGAGTACTTCGCGCCAGTGGGGTTCTGCCTACACTTTCCGAACCAACCCCGAGTCGCCCCCGCACCAATCGCCACAATTCCAGCACTTACATGTCCTGAGGTCCTCGCTTAGCCAGGACCCACCCTACAAGTGTCCGCTTCTTTCATTGTATGGCATTCGATTAATCACATCGACTTTATAAAATTCGTGAGTGCACTCTGATACCGGTAGTACAACTCATAACACCTCTTGTCTTAGCGAAACCAATTTTTGTTACGGAAAGCGACGTTGAGACCGACCATCAAACCAAACGAGACAATAAATGAGATTTTGGCGTTGTTCGCCAACATTTTTAACAACAAAAATGACGGTCTGTCTCGGCTTCCTAATCCCGTCTATTAGGGTTTGTTAGGATCCGTTAAGCAGGTCAGCCCGCGAAATTCTTGCCGAGCCTATGATACTGTGCGAACCAAACGGAATCATGTTGGCCTGTCGAACGCCCTCGTTTTCATTCATTTCGAATGGAATCTTGAAGGTAGGAAAGTGGGTTGGGAGCTTCCTCTACAGGCAAACGTTGCTCCCATTGCCATTCCATCGCCATTCACCCCCCCAAGCAGAATTGCCTTGGAATGGCCATGGGACTGGAAGGATGTGGAGGGTGGGGACGGGGAATCGGAAGGTGGGGAGGTTGGTTCCTGATCCCGTTGCCACCCTTCCTCTTCCTGGGGCGAAATTTCGCGATTTGGCCTAAACCCCCACACCTATTCGGGAGGTTCCTCCTCTGGTTCGTGATTCCACGGCCATTCCGAGCCCTTAGATGTGCTGGCAAACACCACCTTTATTTACTCCCGCCGAACGGAGCCTCGCGAGGTGGGAAAAATCTTGGTTGTGGGTAGGAGAACAATTAGGATTTAGGGTAATACGTTCCCCGTTTTCTCTCTCCCGTTGAAACCCTCGAGTCTTCACGCTCTCACTGCGGGCTCCTTCAACAGTCCTAAGACCTTTTGCAGCTAATCTCTCTCCTCTGTAACCGCTCGTAGGTGTCAGTTTTGTCGTACTTCACGCATCAGAGTCGGCGAAGCTCTAATAACATCGTCACATCGCGCGTATCTTTGGCAAACATGGCTGTCAGTAAGTGTCATGCTGGCCCAGGCTATTCCCCTCGTCTGATGACTTTTGAGTCGACTCAAAGTCATCTCGTAAGTGACATGCTGGCCCCGGCTATTCCCCTGGGCTGTCTCCCAGATTAACGACTGACTCTTTCCCAGTTCCTTTCCGTCCCCGCGTCCCTCTGTCGGCGCATCTCCCCTTCTGTAACGCGCGGCGCGGGCAGGAGCGCAGTTCGAGAACAGCAGCGAGGTGGGCGTGTTCTCGAAGCTCACTAACGCGTACTGCCTCACGGCGGTCGGCGCGTCGGAGAATTTCTTCAGCGTGTTCGAGGCGGAGCTGCCCGACATCCCCGTCGTTAAAGCCTCCATCGCCGGCACGCGCATCATCGGCCGCATGTGCGCGGGTGAGTGCTCTAGGCCGCATGTATGCGGGTGAGTGCGCTTGTGCGGGTGAGTGGTCTAGGCCGCATGTGCGCGGATGAGGGGGGTTAGCGCCGAACGGGTTTTTGCGCGCGGATGGATCTTTGCGCGCGAATTTGGTTTATATGCCCGAATGAGTTTATGTGCGCTGGGCGATGTTTGCGCCCGCGCAGCGAGTGCAGCATGCTGGCTTTGTGCGGGACTTCGGGTTTCGGGCTTTAAGGGTCGCGTGCGCGCCCTTGGGGGTTGTGTGCTCTAAGTGCTGACTTTCCGTGTCACCTTGGATGGTTGCGTTGCGTGCAGGCAACAAGAACGGGCTACTGCTACCCAACTCGACGACAGATCAAGGTGAGAGAGCGCGCAGAGGCGACTGGAGGCCAAGCATGCCCTCGGGAGGCCAAGCATGCCCTTGCTTGCTTCTTCCACCGAAACGCCCTTTCGCCTCCCTCCCCCACCGCCATGCCCAACTTCTCCTCTCTCCCTCCCTCACCGAAATGCCCAATTACTCCTCCCTCCCGCCCCTCACTCATCCCGTTTCCTCCGCCCTTTCATACGAATTCATTTTGCACGCGCAATTTCATGGCTTCCGCGCGCTTTCTCGCGGCTTCCCTCTCTCTCTCTCTCTCCCTCTCCCTCTCCCTCTCCCTCTCCCTCCTGCCTGCGCGCCACGGACGACTTCGTTCCTCACCTCCTTTTTGAGGCGCCTCAAAATTCGACTCTGCACGCGCTATCTCGTGGCCTCCCACTCTCTCTTCCTCCCCCCCCCTCTCCTGCCTGCGCTCCACGGACTAATTCGCTCCTCACCTCCTTCCTCCGCCCTTCCGTCCCCTCCCCTGCATTCTTCTCCCAGAACACCCTCGCCCTTCCTTCCCCCGCGTCTCCGCCCTGCACACGCACCTTTAAAGCTGCGGCACATGCATCACCTTCCTCCTCCTCTCCCTCCCCCCACTCCCCTCCTCCCTTTCTCCCCTTCCCCCCTTAGGGCTGCCGCACATGCGTCACCTTCCTCCTCCCCCCCCCCCCCCCCCCACTCTCCCCCCGTTCGCAATTTAGGGCTGCTGCACATGCGTCACCTTCCTCCTCTCCCCCCCCCCCCCCCAAACTCCCCCCCCGTTCGCCCTTTAGGGCTGCTGCGCATGCGCAACGCGCTGCCCGAGTCGGTGGTGGTGCAGCACGTGGACGAGTGGCTGTCAGTGCTGGGCAACTGTGTGACGACTAAAAACCCAGAACCCTGCCCCTCCCCACCCCTTCCCCCTTCCCCCATCAGAGCTGCTGCACATGCGCAACTCCCTGCCCGAGTCGGTGGTGGTGCAGCGAGTGGACGAGCGGCTGTCAGCGCTGGGCAACTGTGTGAGCTGCAACGACTATGTGGCGCTCATCCACACGGACCTTGATAGAGTGAGTGATGGTGACACATGGACCTTGATAGAGTGAGTGATGGTGACACATGGACCTTGATAGAGTGAGTGATGGTGACACACGGACCTTGATAGAGTAAGTGATGGTGACACATGGACCTTGATAGAGTGAGTGATGGTGACACATGGACCTTGATAGAGTGAGTGATGGTGACACACGGACCTTGATAGAGTAAGTGATGGTGACACATGGACCTTGATAGAGTGAGTGATGGTGACACATGGACCTTGATAGAGTGAGTGATGGTGACACACGGACCTTGATAGAGTAAGTGATGGTGACACATGGACCTTGATAGAGTGAGTGATGGTGACACATGGACCTTGATAGAGTGAGTGATGGTGACACATGGACCTTGATAGAGTGAGTGATGGTGACACATGGACCTTGATAGAGTGAGTGATGGTGACACACGGACCTTGATAGAGTGAGTGATGGTAACACATGGACCTTGATAGAGTGAGTGATGGTGACACATGGACCTTGATAGAGTAAGTGATGGTGACACATGGACCTTGATAGAGTGAGTGATGGTGACACATGGACCTTGATAGAGTGAGTGATGGTGACACATGGACCTTGATAGAGTAAGTGATGGTGACACATGGACCTTGATAGAGTGAGTGATGGTGACACATGGACCTTGATAGAGTGAGTGATGGTGACACATGGACCTTGATAGAGTGAGTGATGGTGACACATGGACCTTGATAGAGTGAGTGATGGTGACACACGGACCTTGATAGAGTGAGTGATGGTAACACATGGACCTTGATAGAGTGAGTGATGGTGACACATGGACCTTGATAGAGTAAGTGATGGTGACACATGGACCTTGATAGAGTGAGTGATGGTGACACATGGACCTTGATAGAGTGAGTGATGGTGACACATGGACCTTGATAGAGTGAGTGATGGTGACACATGGACCTTGATAGAGTGAGTGATGGTGACACACGGACCTTGATAGAGTAAGTGATGGTGACACATGGACCTTGATAGAGTGAGTGATGGTGACACATGGACCTTGATAGAGTGAGTGATGGTGACACGTGGACCTTGATAGAGTGAGTGATGGTGACACATGGACCTTGATAGAGTGAGTGATGGTGACACACGGACCTTGATAGAGTGAGTGATGGTAACACATGGACCTTGATAGAGTGAGTGATGGTAACACATGGACCTTGATAGAGTGAGTGATGGTAACACATGGACCTTGATAGAGTGAGTGATGGTGACACATGGACCTTGATAGAGTAAGTGATGGTGACACATGGACCTTGATAGAGTGAGTGATGGTGACACATGGACCTTGATAGAGTGAGTGATGGTGACACATGGACCTTGATAGAGTGAGTGATGGTGACACATGGACCTTGATAGAGTGAGTGATGGTGACACATGGACCTTGATAGAGTGAGTGATGGTGACACGTGGACCTTGATAGAGTGAGTGATGGTGACACATGGACCTTGATAGAGTGAGTGATGGTGACACACGGACCTTGATAGAGTGAGTGATGGTGACACATGGACCTTGATAGAGTGAGTGATGGTGACACACGGACCTTGATAGAGTGAGTGATGGTAACACATGGACCTTGATAGAGTGAGTGATGGTAACACATGGACCTTGATAGAGTGAGTGATGGTAACACATGGACCTTGATAGAGTGAGTGATGGTAACACATGGACCTTGATAGAGTGAGTGATGGTGACACATGGACCTTGATAGAGTGAGTGATGGTGACACATGGACCTTGATAGAGTGAGTGATGGTGACACATGGACCTTGATAGAGTGAGTGATGGTGACACACGGACCTTGATAGAGTAAGGGATGGTGACACATGGACCTTGATAGAGTGAGTGATGGTGACACATGGACCTTGATAGAGTGAGTGATGGTGACACATGGACCTTGATAGAGTGAGTGATGGTGACACACGGACCTTGATAGAGTAAGTGATGGTGACACATGGACCTTGATAGAGTGAGTGATGGTGACACATGGACCTTGATAGAGTGAGTGATGGTGACACGTGGACCTTGATAGAGTGAGTGATGGTGACACATGGACCTTGATAGAGTGAGTGATGGTGACACACGGACCTTGATAGAGTGAGTGATGGTAACACATGGACCTTGATAGAGTGAGTGATGGTAACACATGGACCTTGATAGAGTGAGTGATGGTAACACATGGACCTTGATAGAGTGAGTGATGGTGACACATGGACCTTGATAGAGTAAGTGATGGTGACACATGGACCTTGATAGAGTGAGTGATGGTGACACATGGACCTTGATAGAGTGAGTGATGGTGACACATGGACCTTGATAGAGTGAGTGATGGTGACACATGGACCTTGATAGAGTGAGTGATGGTGACACATGGACCTTGATAGAGTGAGTGATGGTGACACGTGGACCTTGATAGAGTGAGTGATGGTGACACATGGACCTTGATAGAGTGAGTGATGGTGACACACGGACCTTGATAGAGTGAGTGATGGTGACACATGGACCTTGATAGAGTGAGTGATGGTGACACACGGACCTTGATAGAGTGAGTGATGGTAACACATGGACCTTGATAGAGTGAGTGATGGTAACACATGGACCTTGATAGAGTGAGTGATGGTAACACATGGACCTTGATAGAGTGAGTGATGGTAACACATGGACCTTGATAGAGTGAGTGATGGTGACACATGGACCTTGATAGAGTGAGTGATGGTGACACATGGACCTTGATAGAGTGAGTGATGGTGACACATGGACCTTGATAGAGTGAGTGATGGTGACACACGGACCTTGATAGAGTAAGGGATGGTGACACATGGACCTTGATAGAGTGAGTGATGGTGACACATGGACCTTGATAGAGTGAGTGATGGTGACACGTGGACCTTGATAGAGTGAGTGATGGTGACACATGGACCTTGATAGAGTGAGTGATGGTGACACACGGACCTTGATAGAGTGAGTGATGGTGACACATGGACCTTGATAGAGTGAGTGATGGTAACACATGGACCTTGATAGAGTGAGTGATGGTAACACATGGACCTTGATAGAGTGAGTGATGGTGACACATGGACCTTGATAGAGTAAGTGATGGTGACACATGGACCTTGATAGAGTGAGTGATGGTGACACATGGACCTTGATAGAGTGAGTGATGGTGACACATGGACCTTGATAGAGTGAGTGATGGTGACACATGGACCTTGATAGAGTGAGTGATGGTGACACACGGACCTTGATAGAGTAAGTGATGGTGACACATGGACCTTGATAGAGTGAGTGATGGTGACACATGGACCTTGATAGAGTGAGTGATGGTGACACGTGGACCTTGATAGAGTGAGTGATGGTGACACATGGACCTTGATAGAGTGAGTGATGGTGACACACGGACCTTGATAGAGTGAGTGATGGTAACACATGGACCTTGATAGAGTGAGTGATGGTAACACATGGACCTTGATAGAGTGAGTGATGGTAACACATGGACCTTGATAGAGTGAGTGATGGTGACACATGGACCTTGATAGAGTGAGTGATGGTGACACATGGACCTTGATAGAGTGAGTGATGGTGACACATGGACCTTGATAGAGTGAGTGATGGTGACACATGGACCTTGATAGAGTGAGTGATGGTGACACGTGGACCTTGATAGAGTGAGTGATGGTGACACATGGACCTTGATAGAGTGAGTGATGGTGACACACGGACCTTGATAGAGTGAGTGATGGTGACACATGGACCTTGATAGAGTGAGTGATGGTGACACACGGACCTTGATAGAGTGAGTGATGGTAACACATGGACCTTGATAGAGTGAGTGATGGTAACACATGGACCTTGATAGAGTGAGTGATGGTAACACATGGACCTTGATAGAGTGAGTGATGGTAACACATGGACCTTGATAGAGTGAGTGATGGTGACACATGGACCTTGATAGAGTGAGTGATGGTGACACATGGACCTTGATAGAGTGAGTGATGGTGACACATGGACCTTGATAGAGTGAGTGATGGTGACACACGGACCTTGATAGAGTAAGGGATGGTGACACATGGACCTTGATAGAGTGAGTGATGGTGACACATGGACCTTGATAGAGTGAGTGATGGTGACACGTGGACCTTGATAGAGTGAGTGATGGTGACACATGGACCTTGATAGAGTGAGTGATGGTGACACACGGACCTTGATAGAGTGAGTGATGGTGACACATGGACCTTGATAGAGTGAGTGATGGTAACACATGGACCTTGATAGAGTGAGTGATGGTAACACATGGACCTTGATAGAGTGAGTGATGGTGACACATGGACCTTGATAGAGTAAGTGATGGTGACACATGGACCTTGATAGAGTGAGTGATGGTGACACATGGACCTTGATAGAGTGAGTGATGGTGACACATGGACCTTGATAGAGTGAGTGATGGTGACACATGGACCTTGATAGAGTGAGTGATGGTGACACACGGACCTTGATAGAGTAAGTGATGGTGACACATGGACCTTGATAGAGTGAGTGATGGTGACACATGGACCTTGATAGAGTGAGTGATGGTGACACGTGGACCTTGATAGAGTGAGTGATGGTGACACATGGACCTTGATAGAGTGAGTGATGGTGACACACGGACCTTGATAGAGTGAGTGATGGTAACACATGGACCTTGATAGAGTGAGTGATGGTAACACATGGACCTTGATAGAGTGAGTGATGGTAACACATGGACCTTGATAGAGTGAGTGATGGTAACACATGGACCTTGATAGAGTGAGTGATGGTGACACATGGACCTTGATAGAGTGAGTGATGGTGACACATGGACCTTGATAGAGTGAGTGATGGTGACACATGGACCTTGATAGAGTGAGTGATGGTGACACACGGACCTTGATAGAGTAAGTGATGGTGACACATGGACCTTGATAGAGTGAGTGATGGTGACACATGGACCTTGATAGAGTGAGTGATGGTGACACGTGGACCTTGATAGAGTGAGTGATGGTGACACATGGACCTTGATAGAGTGAGTGATGGTGACACACGGACCTTGATAGAGTGAGTGATGGTGACACATGGACCTTGATAGAGTGAGTGATGGTAACACATGGACCTTGATAGAGTGAGTGATGGTAACACATGGACCTTGATAGAGTGAGTGATGGTGACACATGGACCTTGATAGAGTAAGTGATGGTGACACATGGACCTTGATAGAGTGAGTGATGGTGACACATGGACCTTGATAGAGTGAGTGGTGGTGACACATGGACCTTGATAGAGTGAGTGATGGTGACACATGGACCTTGATAGAGTGAGTGATGGTGACACACGGACCTTGATAGAGTAAGTGATGGTGACACATGGACCTTGATAGAGTGAGTGATGGTGACACATGGACCTTGATAGAGTGAGTGATGGTGACACGTGGACCTTGATAGAGTGAGTGATGGTGACACATGGACCTTGATAGAGTGAGTGATGGTGACACACGGACCTTGATAGAGTGAGTGATGGTAACACATGGACCTTGATAGAGTGAGTGATGGTAACACATGGACCTTGATAGAGTGAGTGATGGTGACACATGGACCTTGATAGAGTGAGTGATGGTGACACACGGACCTTGATAGAGTGAGTGATGGTAACACATGGACCTTGATAGAGTGAGTGATGGTAACACATGGACCTTGATAGAGTGAGTGATGGTAACACATGGACCTTGATAGAGTGAGTGATGGTGACACATGGACCTTGATAGAGTAAGTGATGGTGACACATGGACCTTGATAGAGTGAGTGATGGTGACACATGGACCTTGATAGAGTGAGTGATGGTGACACATGGACCTTGATAGAGTGAGTGATGGTGACACATGGACCTTGATAGAGTGAGTGATGGTGACACACGGACCTTGATAGAGTAAGTGATGGTGACACATGGACCTTGATAGAGTGAGTGATGGTGACACATGGACCTTGATAGAGTGAGTGATGGTGACACATGGACCTTGATAGAGTGAGTGATGGTGACACATGGACCTTGATAGAGTAAGTGATGGTGACACATGGACCTTGATAGAGTGAGTGATGGTGACACATGGACCTTGATAGAGTGAGTGATGGTGACACATGGACCTTGATAGAGTGAGTGATGGTGACACATGGACCTTGATAGAGTGAGTGATGGTGACACACGGACCTTGATAGAGTAAGTGATGGTGACACATGGACCTTGATAGAGTGAGTGATGGTGACACATGGACCTTGATAGAGTGAGTGATGGTGACACACGGACCTTGATAGAGTAAGTGATGGTGACACATGGACCTTGATAGAGTGAGTGATGGTGACACATGGACCTTGATAGAGTGAGTGATGGTGACACGTGGACCTTGATAGAGTGAGTGATGGTGACACATGGACCTTGATAGAGTGAGTGATGGTGACACACGGACCTTGATAGAGTGAGTGATGGTAACACATGGACCTTGATAGAGTGAGTGATGGTAACACATGGACCTTGATAGAGTGAGTGATGGTAACACATGGACCTTGATAGAGTGAGTGATGGTAACACATGGACCTTGATAGAGTGAGTGATGGTAACACATGGACCTTGATAGAGTGAGTGATTGATTGTGATGTGACACCAACACCTCCCCAAGCACTCATCACTCCTAGATAGAGTGAGCAACACTTCCCACTCCCGCCGCCTCCCACGTTCTCTTTCGACTCCCCCACCTTACAGTCACGCACCCTCACGTGTATCGCCGCACTGTGAAGCTCACCCTTCTGCATATTGCTCTGGACGGGTTTCTCTCACACTCAGGTAACCAATCAGAGCAGGTCAACTGGACGGGCCACTGTGATTCGCACTGCGTTCATTGCTCATGCCTTTTTTTGTTTGCTGTCTGTGACAAGCCGAGCCCAGCTGCATGTGATTCGCAAGGCAGGCATGGCATGGGTGCAGTGATGAGGATCGTTCAGTGGGTGATCTCACCTGTGAGACATGAGCCCTTCACTCAGGCTTGTATTCCCTGAGCCCCCAGTCGCCCCCTCACCTTCTGACCCCCCTGTTATGCCTTCACAATATATGTGTGCATATGCCTGTCACGTTTCTTGTGCACGTACCCGCCCGTGCGCTTCCATCGCAAGCCAGGCATGGGTGCAGTGATGAGGATTGTTGATTGGGTGATGGCACGTACGTGTGACATGAGCCCTTCACTTCACTCTGCCTTGTATTCCTTCACCGCCTCCGCCTGCTGGCCTGCAGGCCTTTCTTTCCTTCCGCCACCGCCTGCAGACGTGTTGGGGCTGGAGGTGTTTTGTCAGGCCATCTCTGCCCACTGCGCTTCCTGCTTCTTGCTGCGTTAATTCCTCCTCATATTACATTCCTCCCTCTGCCTCATACTGCATTCCTCTCTCTGCCTAATGTTGCCTCATGCTGCCGTCACCAGGAGACGGAGGAGCTCATAGCGGACGTGTTGGGGGTGGACGTGTTTCGTCAGACCATCGCCTCATTATGTGTTCCCTCTGCCCAGTGTTTTCTGTGTGCCCCGTGTCTTCTGTGTGCCCCGTGTCTTCTGTGTGCCCCATGTCTTCTGTGTGCCTCGCCTCGTGCTGCTCTCTGGCCACCAGGAGACGGAGGAGCTTATAGCGGATGTGTTGGGGGTGGAGGTGTTCCGCCAGACCATCTCGGCTTACTGCGCTTCCTGCCTCTTGCTCCGCTCCTCCTCATGCTGCATTGCTCTGCCTCATACGACATTCCTCTCTTTGCCTCCCTCTACCTCATGCTATCACCACCAGGAGACGGAGGAGCTCATAGCAGACGTGTTGGGGGTGGAGGTATTTCGTCAGACCATCGCCGGCAACATCCTCGTCGGCAGCTACTGTGTCTTCACCAACCGGGGCGGCCTGGTCAGTCACTCGCACTCTCACTGCCTTTCCGTGTTGACTTTTGAGTTGACTCAGAAGTCAGCTTGTTCTGTCAAACCATTGCCGGTAGCGTTGGCAGCTACTGCGTCGTCACCAACTGGGGCGGCCTGGTCAGTCAATCGCACTCCCTCCCGCGGCTTCTTCTCCATGCCACTCCAGTGCTACGTTGGCAGATACGCTTTGGGAAGGCTGGCGTATTACGTATATACGCTAGCGTATATACGTGTTACGCTAATACGCTCTGAATTTGCGAAATACGCCTGGGCAGCCCGCGGGAAAAAAAATCTGAAATTGAAAAAAATCGCGACGACTTTCCGGCTTTGCAAATTGTTTCCGCGAACTGGCTCAAGCACCCTACCCACGTCTGAAGTTTGAATGTCAAAATCCAAACTTTTTCACCCACTAAACCACACAACACCCCACCCAACCTCTCAAACCCAACCACCCCTTTCAATTGTTCATCACTTAGTAAGCATTTTTAGGTCGTCGACTTCCATAATGCTCTTCAATTTACTTCCCGCAGGTCTCGTCTAGCATTCTTCCCCGTAAGTTAGACGTTCCGTAGTCGCGCGCCATGGCGTCGAGCGCAGCTCCTACTAGTTCGACGAGCAATGCAGCCTCTGTTCACGGCTCTACTGCCCGGGAAAAATGTTTCACCTGCCCGCCCAGCGTATTTTAGCGTAACAGCAGTACGCCAGCCATTGCGTACCGCGTATATACCCAACGTATAATACGCTAGCGTATTATACGTGATACGCGTATTTGCCAACATAGCTCCAGTGCACGGCCAGTCTGTAGCACCATGTTTCACAACAGCCCTGGGCTTGTCTATTCTCGCGCCTCCCCGTATTCGCATGCTGGTGTAACGTACCGTATTGTCTTTCGAGGCACCTCAACAGCCGTGCTGGTGTGTTGTATTGTTGGAGTGGCTCGCGCGTACATCTCCTGTGCATGGCTTTTTAGGCACCTACAAAGTCGTCTCTCTACTCTACCCACAATTTTTTTTTAGATGCTTCAAAAACGGAGTATTGTATTGTTGGGTGCACGTGATGGTCCCACCCAAGTGCACGGGTCGCCTATGCTCATGCGTTTAGCCCCTGTGTGTGTGTGTGTGTGACCTGCCCACTACCATGCCACCAGGTGCACCCGCAAACATCAGTGGAAGATCTCGATGAGCTGTCATCACTGCTACAAGTGCCTCTGGTGGCCGGCACAGTGAACCGCGGCAGTGAGGTGGTGGGGGCGGGGCTTGTGGCGAATGACTGGGCGGCATTTGCAGGGTTTGACACAACAGCCACGGAGCTGTCGGTGATTGACAGCGTGTTCAAGCTGCGAGAGAGCGTGGCTCCCAGCGTCGTGCATGAGATGCGCGCCTCCCTCATTGACACTCTTGTATGACCTGACCATGCATGCCGGCCGGCCGGCCACTAGGATGCTTGGTAGTAGTGAGTTTGGGATACAGGTTTTGGATGAAGCTGGTGCATGCATTCTAGTGAAATGCATTCATGTGCTGCAGTGCATGAGAGGATGTGCTTGCAGATGGTTTTCATGTGCATCGAGCAGATGCCATCCGTCGGTCGTGCTCATGCTTCCACCAGTGATTCTTGCCACCACCATGTGAGGCCATCGAGTGTGTCTGTGCACTGTCGTGAGATATCCTACGTTATCGTGAATGTGAATCATCTCTTCAAAATCCTCTGTTGTAACAACCAGGAAATCGTTTGGGTACCTCTCAAAAATAACATCGTATTTATTTCGGCTCACCAGTTTCATTACCATGTATGATGGAGTTGGGGGTGTTTGAAGATGCGTTTACAATATAATACACAAGATTTTGCTTGCGCTTACAGTCGAGGAACAGATATAAGTGCAGGGTTTACCCCACAATATTTTGCTTGCGCTTACAGTCGAGGAACAGATATAAGCGCAGGGTTTACACCACAAGATTTTGCTTGCGCTTACAGTCGAGGAACAGATATACCGTATTCTCCCGGATAAAACACCACCCCGTGATTGTACACCCCCGGGTAGCTAATACGGGGTGGGTGTTATATCCGACCCCGTTTGTACTATACCCCCCCTTTTGGGGTGATTTTCTATAACACCCCACTTTTCTTATAGATTCATATTACCGTAATACCCCGGATAGAAGCGCACCTGCGCTTATAATAAAACATTGTTTTTTGGGAGGGTGCGCGTATAATTGAGTCAGATTTATAAGTGCAGGCGCTTATGAAATGACAATTACAGAAATGTGTTTTAAATTTACCAAACTGTACATCTCTGTCGTGCAATTTCAATCTAATCAGAACATTACAGCGTCCCACATCAGAGAATCGGGCGAGGGCGATTTCAGCCGCCGCACATGGGCGAGGACAAATCACAACGCAGAGGGATATGGCAAGCTCGCCCCGAACCAATGTACGAGCCAGTCGCACGGAGTCGCTTGATCACAGCGCAGAGGCACAGTCGTTCCCGAGCTCCCCCGCCTGCCCCTTTTTCGCTCGCACAACGCACAGGATAGTCGTTTCCAGCGGCCATCTTCTCTCCCCCCCCTCCCAACGATGTGATGTCAGTCAGTCAGCTTCACGTCGTTTCGCTTCTCCTGCGAATCGCTTGCCCTCGAGCGAGTCAAACAAGTAGGAACGGATCTGGACTCGCTGCAAAATGGGAAATCGTTACTATATTAATTAGGATTTAATAGTAGAATTATTGATGCGCTTATAATAAGTCAAGGTTTTACAGCAGGTGCGCTTATAATTGAGGATCGGCCATACGCGCATTGCTCCAGATATAAGCGCATGCGCTTAACATAGGCCTGCGCTTATATCCGGGGCCATACAGTATAGCTGTTATCGAGTCCGATTCCTTATGGGAAGATATCGCGAGAATTGCTCCCTAGGTGAAATTTCGCGTGTACTTTCACTTAGAATCCGCCAAGATTTCCCCCCTCCCACAATCTCGCTGTCGCCACGCTGGCGAATCTTCCGCTGCAAGTGGCCCAATAAGTGAAAATCACATTCTCATACGACTCACAGACACGTGACCAAAATAGTCAAGAAGTGACTGGTACAGTAAGAACGCACCACCGAGCGCGATTCTGGCCTCGGCGGTTGCATGAACCCTCGCCACGCATTTGGCTTTGTTTTCACCCTATCAAGTGTCAGAATTGCCCACTCGAATTTGTGAGAATTAGAAAGAGAATGATTGCATTGAGCAGAATGAGGAGTACAAATAGCAAACCCTAAAGTGTTATACCCTATATGAATTGCCCCACTACAGCCTTCACAGACTACAGCATATATGCCTGACACACCCCCATAGGCAAAGTGGGGGAGAACAAAGGGTCACAAGACCAGTCAAGCAAAGCAAAGCAAGCTCAGGGTGGATCACAACGTCACCACACAGTCCGAGCACAAGAGCAAGGCCACAAGGACAGTTCACATGCAAGATCATATATATGAAGGTAAACAAGCAAGAGCAGGTATAGAAAGATCACAGTACAAGCAAGGTCAAGAAATGAGCAAGTGAGGCCAAGTAGGTACAAGACCTAGCATCGTACAGAAACGCTGATGATCACAAGGCGGAAGTGCCTTGGTAAAGATATCAACAGTATTGGCCTCAGAGGCCATGTAAGCAAGGCGTTGCTGACCACGCTGCTACAGCTCACGAGCAAGGAAGTAGCGAAGAGCAATGTGCTTCGTTCTGTACTCCAGTCTGTGCTCCCGACACAAGGCCAGCATGGCCTTGTTGTCTACGTACAGAACTGGAGGAGAACGAGGCGGCTCTCCTAGGTTAGTCAGCAGGTAGGTGAGCCAGCGTAGCTCCTGTGCAGCCACGGCCCCCGCGTAGATCTCAGCCTCACAGCTGGAGCCGAGAACAGAAGACGAGCGGGTAGACCGCCACGAAACAGAGCCAGAGCCAAGGCTAAAGGTGTAACCCTGTGACGACCGGTGCGTAGCCTGGTCGTCAGCCCAAGAAGCGTATGCGTGACCTGTGAAGACCACTCGACGTCGCCCTCCAAGCACTAGCCCCATGCTCGACGTACTGCACAAGTAGCATAACACCCTCTTCGCTGCAGCCATGTGCTCTGGTCGGTGTCTCCTAGGAGCAACATAGCGTGCCAGGATGCTAAGAGGGTATGCAAGGTCAGGTCGTGTGCAGGTCACCAGGTACATGAGGCAGCCAACAAGCTCTGGGTATGGGCCACTCGACTCTACGGACTCATCCGAAGGCAGAGCTGAGAGCGATTGGCGACAATACAGAGGAGTGGCCTGAGGCGAGGATTACGTGAAGCCAAAGCGCTGAAGGACCTGCTGCACCATGTGTGACTGAGTTAGGGTAATGGTGCGCTGTGCTGTGTCCCGGGTGATCTGCAAGCCAAGGTAGCTGCGCAGTTCACCCAGGTCTGTGCGAGTGTGTCTCTTCTGCAGCTCGGACATCACGTGGGCGAGTCCAGCAGTGTCAGTAGTGGCAAAGACTAAGTCTTCGATGTACACGAGGATGTAGAACGGCAGGAGAGAGGTGTCGGTGCGCAGAAACAGTGACGGGTCGGTAGTAAAAGGAGCAAGGCCAAGAGCCGAAAGTGTAGTCCTCGGTGTGTCGTGCCACTCATCGGGCGCCTGGCGGAGACCATAGACTGGCCGCTGGAGGCTCCACTAGGTACCAGGAGGAAACGACCCAGTAAAGCTAGGTGGGCGGCGCACCCAAATCTCCTCGTGCAGGCTGCCCTGCAGGAGAGTTGTGCTGAAGTAAAGAGAGTGAAACTCGTAGTCGCGCTGAGTGGCTATGTGCAGCAGCACCCGAAGAGTGGACATCTTTGGCGACGCCATGCGTCCGTCAAGCGACCGAAGCAGCGCTGGGTGGAGTGCGGGCCTCCGCACAGTTCACCAGCTCGGTCGCCGGTGGGAGGGTCACCACGAGAGGCTCCTATAGTGACTATGCTCTTCTCTGCTGCTAGGAGGGCCTTCTCGAGGAGGTCAATGGTGAGAGTGGTGGGGCAAACTGAGAGGAAGTGGTCCCTGACCACGCGGAGAGAGTCAGGGAGCCGGGTGACTATGTAGTAGAGGGTGATGTAGATGGGGGGGGGGGTGTCACAGGATCGAATTCTCAATGGAAACTTGTCCCTCAAACTGAATACAAGGCATTTTTATACTCGGAAAATACAAGGATAATCGAGATAATACGAACCTTCGGGAACACACCCTTCCCGATACTATAATCACAAGTGCGCACAAGCACGCAAGGCTATTGGCACTCGGGATTACGCCCAGATTACACCGTATACACTACTCTCGGCGCTGTCGGTGCCGTATATGAGAAGAGTTGAGCAATGAATGAATCAACTATGAATGAAGTGAGTACAAGTACTAACCCTAATTGGGTTGTACCGCTTATGGACTACCCCACTATAGCCTACACAATATGCAAAAGCTATATGTTCTAACACACCCCCATAGGCAAAGTGAAGGAGAACAAGGGGTCACAAGACCAGTCAAGCAAAGCAAAGCAAAGCAAGCTCAGAGTGGATCACAAAGTCACCACACAGTCCGAGCACAAGATCAAGGCCACAAGGCCAGTTCACATGCAGGAGTATACATATATATATAAGGCTAAACAAGCAAAAGCAGGCATGTATATATATATATATGCAAGAGTACAAGAAAGGTCAAGAGGTGAGCAAGTGAGGCAAGGCTGGGACAAGTCCCAGCTGAGTGCAGAAGCGCTGATGATCACAAGGCGGAAGTGCCTTGGTGAAAACATCAGCAGTGTTGGCCTCAGAGGCCACGTACGCAAGTCGCAACTCACCACGCTGCTGCAGCTCACAAGCAAGAAAGTAACGGAGAGCAATGTGCTTCGTTCTGTGCTCCAGGCGCTGCTCTCGACACAAAGCCAGCATGGCCTTATTGTCTACGTATAGCACCGGAGGAGAACGAGGCGGCTCTCCAAGGTCACTCAGCAGGTAGGTGAGCCAGCGAAGCTTCTGTGCAGCCATGGCCCCTGCGTAGATCTCAGCCTCACAACTGGAGCCGAGAAGAGAAGACGAGCGAGTAGCCCGCCACGAAACAGAGCCGGAACCAAGACTGAAGGTGTAACCCTGCGACGACCGCTGCGTAGCCTGGTCATCAGCCCAAGAAGCGTCCGTGTGCCCAGTGAGGACCACTGGACTCCGCCCTCCAAGCACTAGCCCCATGCCCGACGTACTGCACAAGTAGCGCAACACCCTAGTCGCTGCAGCCATGTGCTCTGGTCGGTGTCTCCCAGGAGCAACATAGCGTGCAAGAATGCTAAGAGGGTATGCAAGGTCAGGTCGTGTGCAGGTCATCAGGTACATGAGGCAGCCAACAAGCTCTGGGTACAGGCCACTCGACTCTACAGACTCATCCGAAGGCAGAGCTGAGAGGGAGTGGCGAGTAGACAGAGGAGTGGCCTGAGGCGAGGAGTACGTGAAGCCGAAGCGCTGAAGGACCTGCTGCACCATGTGCGACTGAGTCAAGGTAATGGTGCGGCGTGCTCTGTCCCGAGTGATCTGCAAGCCAAGGTAGCTGCGCAGTTCACCCAGGTCTGTGCACGTGTGTCTCTTCTGCAGCTCGGACTTCACGTAGGCGAGTCCAGCAGTGTCAGCTGTGGCAAAGACCAAGTCGTCGACGTACACGAGGATGTAGAACGGCGGCAGAGAAGTGTCGGTGCGCAGAAACAACGACGGGTCAGCAGTAGAGGGAGCAAACCCAAGAGCCGCAAGCGTAGTCCTCAGTGTGTCGTGCCACTCACGCGGTGCCTGGCGGAGACTGTAGACTGGCCGTCGGAGGCTCCACTGGGTGCCAGGAGGGAAAGTCCCAGTGAAGCCAGGTGGATGGCGCAGCCAGATCTCCTCGTGCAGGCTACCCTACAAGAAAGTAGTGCTGAAGTCAAGAGAGTGGAGCTCGTAGTCGCGCTGAGCGGCTATGTGCAGCAGCACCCGAAGAGTGGTCATCTTTGGAGTAGGAGAGAAGGTCTGAATGCAGTCAACTCCGTCTCGCTGACTGAAGCCACGAGCGACGTACTGTGCCTTGAAGACAGGTGGAGAGCCCGGCGGCCGCTTCACCCTGAAGATCCACATGCCACTGACGATGTTCGCCCCAGGAGGGGGAACCGCGTCAATGTAGGTGCCTGTGGACTTCCAGGAAGCCATCGCTGCATCCATAGCTGCCTGCCACTGAGAGGAGTAGGGACCCTCTACGGCCTCCGCGTAAGAGCGCGGAGTCAGGATGTCTAGTGCATCTAGGTCTCCCTCAGGGGCAAGTAGTACAGACGCGAGATGAGGTGAAGCAGCAGCCAGACACTGGAACTCCTCCTGCCTGTCTTCAAGGACGTCCGTGCCAAGAGCACACTCACCCCCGACGGACGGAGGACAGACAGACGCAGACTCAGCAACAAGACTAGCAGCGTAGTCTAGACGACAGCGAGCAGCAAAGTCGATGAGCTCAGCAACAAGAGCAGACGCAGCAGTGGACTCAAAAGAGGGGTCAGTGACGACAGTAGCAAGGAGACGCGTGACAGTAGGACTGGTAGCACGAAGGGAGTCCGACTCCGGGTCAGCAAGCGCAGGAAGAGAGGACGCAGGAGGAGAAGGCAAAGGGGCACGCAGAGGAGCAGTGGATGGACGCAGAGACATCCGGTGCGTGCCAGGGAGAGGACGAGGACGCTGACGCGAACCACGACCACTAGCGCGAGAAGTACGAACAGGCGATGTGGGATGAGACGCAGGCTCATGACGCTCAGCAATACCTCCTGTAGGACCAGTGTAAGGAGAGGGAGCACGAAGTGGGGAGGCGGGCTCTAACAGGGACTGGGACTGGGCAGGCGGTGGACACTCGACAGGAGGAGAAAGACCAAGAACCTGCTGCAGGAGCGGAACGAAGTACGGCCGAGGCCGCGCGGCAACTCCAGACACAGCAAGAACAGCACCAGCACCCTCAGCGGAAGCACCAGCGCCAACAGCACCTCCAGCTCCAGGACCTCCAGTAGCACCAGCAGAACTCGCAGTAGGACCACCGCCAGGAAGGACAGCAGTGGTCTCAGCACCAACACCGTGAGCAGCTCCAGCCCCAGGCGGACCCGAAGGCCCAGTAGCTCCGGGACCGGCGCCACAAGCACCCTCAGCGGCCGAAGAAACTCCAGCTCCAGAAGTACGCCTCCAGCGGCGAGCAAACCACTCGCGCAGCTCCTGTGGAGAGAGTGGCTCCCGCCGAGACGAAGCATCTGGAAAACCTCCAGGCTTAGCAGATCCAGACGCAGCACCCCCTGGCTCGGTAGCTCTTGACGAAGCACCCCCAAGCTCAGCACCCCCAGGCTCAGCACCCCCAGTCGCAGCACCCCCAGGCTCAGCGCCCCCAGACTCAGCATCCCCAGGCTCAGCACCCCCAGTCGCAGCACCCCCAGGCTCAGCACCCCCAGACTCAGCATCCCCAGGCTCTGCACCCCCAGGCTCAGCACCCCCAGTCGCAGTACCCCCAGGCTCAGCACCCTCAGGCTCAGCACCCACGCGCGCAGCACCCCCAGAGTCAGCACCCCTAGGCTCAGCACCCGCAGCAGTACCAGAGTCACCAGCAACCTCGACCGGCTCGACTGCGTCTACCTGGGACACACCTCAAGGGGCAGGACCTTGAGGGGGGAGGGGGTCTACCGTCGGGGGATCTGGCACAAGGAAGTGCGGTGGCGGGGGGAGGGAAGGAGTGCGGTAGGGGAAGAGGCGGTAGAAGGGGACGGACTCGTCGAACGTGACGTCCTGGGAGGACAGAACACGACGAGAGGAGGGGTGGTAGAACTGCCACCTTGGGGCGTTAGGGGGGAAGCTGAGGATGACACAAGGAGCAGCACGAGGGGACACCTTGTCCGCAGACAAGTCGCGGACAAACGCCCGAGATCCCCAGACACGTAACGCAGACGCATCGCCGACCTTCCCCGTCCACTGCAGAGCTGGGGAGGTCTCCGGCCGGGAGACCCTAGGGTGAAGGTTGATCTGATGCGCTGCGTACCGAACCGCAAACGGCCACAGAAAATGGGGGGTAGCCGCATGCATCATGGACGTACGAGCGACGTCCATGATCATGCCAATGTAGCGCTCAGCAATCCCATTTTGCTGTGGAGAGTCCGGAAGCGTAAAGGTCTGGCGGATGCCTCGTGCACGACAGTAGGCTCACAGAAGGCCAGAGGAGAACTCTCCACCTCGGTCAGAGTGCAGACGCAGAACAGGAAAGTCAGAGCCGAAGCTCCTCCTGAGCTGGAGACGAGCTGCGCGGATCCATTCGATCAACACCTCAGTGACATCACCCTTGCTGCGCAAGGGGAAGACCGTGGTGCAACGCGAGTAGTCGTCAACCACCAGCAGAAAGTAGTGCTCGTGACCCTGTCCACGGACGCGGGCCGGGCCCCACACGTCCATGTGAAGCGTCTGCAGAGGAGCCTCTGTCGGGGGAAACTGGGAGGAGTGAGGGGCAGCCCGGAGCCGCCCCTCGACACAGGGGACACACGAAGGTCCTGGCCCTGAAGGAAGGGGATGGAGAGACCGGGGGAGGCCAGAGACAAGGACACGAGAAGCCATGCCCCGAAGACGAGGCAAGGAGGGGTGGCCAAGACGGTGGTGCCACAGGAGAGTCTCGTGAGACAAGAGGCGACACGAGCAAGGGGCAGACTCAGGACCAGACCTGGACGCAGCAGCAAACACCTGACCGGACGCAGCTATCTGGCCAGACGCAGAGACAGGAGGAGACTCAGTGGTCAGGGTGCAGAGACTCGACCCCGGCCGACGCGAAAACGTGGCTAGGTGTCGCCCTGTGCGGGCGTTCGAGCAGTGGGTCACCCGCTGACTCGCAGGAGTAAACTGGTGAACCCCTGCATCCTGCAAGTCAGCACCACTCACCAAGCTCGTCGAGAACGAGGGGAGGTACAGACCAGACAAGGTGCCCGAGGGGGTTAAGATCATAGACAGCTACGCCAGCCCTAGACAGCTCTCCCCAGCGGGGGATCTCACTAGCCTCGGGGAACTGCTGACGCCAAGCGTCCGTCAGGCGGTCAAAGCAGCGCTAGGTGGGGTGGGCACCCCCACACTGCTCACCCGCGCGGTCGTCGGAACGAAGGACGTAGGCGCACGGACCATAACCCCCACCACGCTGACGCTGCGTGTACCACTCACGGAGCTGATGAGGCCGGGGGATGTCCCGAGAACGCTGCTGCTGCTGGCGCTGACCACCACCAGAGCCGCTCCGCTGCGGGGCACCACCCCGACCAGCTCCACCCCCTCCGCCACCGCCGCCTCCACCTCCGCCACCATTGCCGCCTCCGCTCCCATCGCCTCCGCCGCCACCGCCTCTGCCTCCGCCGCCGCCAACACCACCACCACCCCCGCCACCACTCCCACCGCCACCCCCACTCCCTCCGCTGCCTCCACTGCCACCTCCACCGCCCTCGCCAGCTCCACTCGCACCCTTGCCCCCCTTGCCCTTGCCAGAGCGGCGTCTCCCGCTAGGGGCAGACGCCGCGCCGACCGACTCAAGACCAAGAAGGTCGGCAGCAGCAGCAGAGGCAACAGATGGCAGCAGGGGGGAAGGAGAACACCCCTCAAAGATGGGGGTGCGAGGGTCACCACGAGAGGCTCCTACAATGACGATGCTCTTCTCCGCCGCCAGGAGGGCCTTCTCGAGGAGGACAACAGTGAGAGTGGTGGGACAGACTGAGAGGAAGTGGTCCCTGACTACGCGAAGGGAGTCAGGGAGGCGTGTGACTATGTAATAGAGAGTGATGTACATGGGGGGGGGGTTCTTGGCGCAGAACTCAGCAGGAAGCGCGGCGCGGTAGCGAGTGTCACTAGTGCGGAGGTGCGTAATGAGGTCAGCGAGTGTAGGAAAGGCAGCAAGGTCAGGGAAGAGGTACAGTAGCATGAGGCGGCTCAGTGCAGCAGTGGCAGCGGAAGAGTAGCGCGCAACTACAGTGTCGTACAAGGTCTGAGCACTCTTGTACTGACTAAAGTGCGCGCGCTCAGTGGTAGGCAGGTGGCGACGCACAGCAAGACGTGCAGCAGCATCGCGGGTGGCCCACTAAGAGCGAACAGTGGGGTCAGCATCAGCAGCAGGGGCAGGAGAGGCGCCGGAGGTGAGGTCAAAGAGAGAAAGGCCGTCCGCACTATCGCACTGTAAGAACAGCTGCAGGTCATCTACCCAGACCTCAAAGTCAATGGCTTGACCCTGAGCGTCAAAAGCGAGGACGCTAGGGGTAGCCATAACGACGATAGACTAGTAGTGCAAGCAGTAGGGGAAGGGCACGCAGTGACAGTGGGGCTGTGCTCACCGGACAGGGCAGGTCGGGCGGCTCGGCTGTAGGGCGGCTCGGCGGCTCGGCGCCTGGGCGGCTCGGCGACTGGGTGGCTGGGCGGCTCGGCAGCTCAGCTGCTGGGCGGCTCGGCTGCACGGCGACTCGGCTGGTGGGAGCCGGGCGGCTTGGCGGCAGGGCGGCTCGGCTCCTCCGGTACTGGGCGGCGTGGCGGTCGGCTGCTCAGGTGCGCGCTGCAGGGTGGTGCGGCGGTCGGCGGCTCGGGCGGCGCGGCAGGAGGGGAGAGCGGCGGGGCCGCAGCAGACAGGCGGCGGGGCCGCGACAGTAGGGCGGCGGGGCCCGTGAAGTAGGGCGGCGGGGCCGCAGGTGGAGGGCGGCGGGGCCGCAGGTGTAGGGCGGCGGGGCCGCAGGTGTAGGGCGGCCGGGCCGCAGCAGACGGGCGGCGGGGCCGCAACTGTTAGGCGGCGGGGCCAGGAGTGTAGGGCGGTGGGGCCGCAGGTGTAGGGCGGCGGGGCCGCGAAGTGGGGCGGCGGGGCCGCGACAGTAGGTCGGCGGGGCCGCGAAGTGGGGCGGCGTGGCCGCGACCGTAGGGTGGCGGGGCCGCGAAGTGGGGCGGCGGGGCCGCGAAGTGGGGCGGCGGGGCCGTGAAGTGGGGCGGCGGGGCCGCGAAGGGAGGCGGCGGGGCCGCGAAGTGGGGCAGCGGGGCCGCGACCGTAGGGTGGCGGGGCCGCGAAGTGGGGCGGCGGGGCCGCGAAGTGGGGCGGCGGCGCCGCGAAGTGGTGCGGCGGGGCCGCGAAGTGAGGCGGCGGGGCCGCGAAGTGGAGCGGCGGGGCCGCGACGGTAGGGCGGGGTGGCGGGGCCGTTAAAGCAGGGCGGCAAGGCCGCAAAGGAAGGGCGGCGGGGCCGCAAGAGCAGGGCGGCGGGGCCGCGACAGTAGGGCGGCGAGGCCGCTAGGGGAGGGAAGGCTGCTAGGGCGGCTCGTCCAGGTAAAAGCCCGAGGCGGGACTCGGGATGAGCGCGCTTCGGGCAAGAAAAAAAAGGATTTTCGAATTGGTGGGCCCTAGGCAAAGTTCCCACAGGGGAACCTGCTGGATACCATGAGAAGAGTTGAGCAATGAATGAATCAACTATGAATGAACTGACTACAAGTACTAACCCTAATTGGGTTGTACCCCTTATGGGCTACCCCACTATAGCCTACACAATATGCAAAAGCTATATGTTCTGACTATATAATCGGTATGTCGGTGGGAAAAGTAGGAAATAAGAGAAATTAATCGAAGGCTCTAGAAAATAGAATAGTTGGCCGATTGAGATGAGATAAAGACCAAAATAAAGAGGAGAAAAGGGAGAATAGGATAATGGAAAGATATAATAGTGAGAAAATATTATAACGGGGACGTCCTCTCACATTTCCCCCCCTCAAAGGTGGGTGGTAGAAGTAACACCCTGCTTTACAAGGTAGTCCTGGAGAGGACAACGGGCGTTATCCATGTCGTGTTCAGGTACACTGGTATCCTTGGAAGGATCATAACCTTTCCAACGAATCAAGAGCTCCAAGGTGCCGCTACGTCGTCGTCCGTGCGCCAGAACGGCTTCGACTTCGTACTCGGGTTCCCCATTAACGATCACTGGCAGTGGCGGCGGCGGCTGGCGACCTTTGAAGACCGTGTTTGGGTCCCGATAGGGCTTGAGAAGTTGAACATGGAAGGCATTGTGAATTCTCCATGTGGCTGGTAAACGCAAGCGGAAGGTTACTGGAGTGACCTGCGCCTCGACGAGAAAAGGTCCGTAGAAGCGAGGTCGGAGCTTAGACGGAAGATGGCTAATGTCGAGATTGCGTATATCCAGAAGCACTTGATTGCCGATCGTGATGAAATGATCGTTGCGACTCCGATCAGCAAGCTTCTTTTGTTGCTGCTGGATAGTCAGAAGACGTTTATGCGTGCGCTCCCACAATTGGTGCATAGTGGAAATGAAGTCATGTGCGGGTTGCACCGTGGCGGGTACTGTTGGTTTCTGAGGCGTGAGTGGGTTGCGACCGTAACAGAGGAAGAAAGGAGTTTGCCCTGTTGCGGCGTGCGTGGCGTTGTTATACGCAAACTCGAGAACTGGCAGGTGTGCATCCCATTAAGAGATATCGTCCTTACACGCTGCTCGCAGAAGCTGTTTGACAATCTGGTTGAGGCGCTCTGTCTGACCATCCGTTTGGGGATGATAGGCTGATGACATGGCGAGTTTGGTCCCCATGAGCGACATGAGCTCCTTCCAGAATTTACTCGTGAATTTCGGGTCTCTGTTGGATATCAGCGTGGTTGGAATGCCATGTTGCGAGATGACGTAGCGGAAGAATAATTGCGCTGTCTCCTCGGTGCGAGCCGTTGTGTGTGTCGGAATGAAGTGTCCCATTTTGGAGAATTTGTCGATGACGACTAGAATGGCGTCGTAACCAGCTTTGGTAGGTGGTAACCCGGTGATGAAGTCGAGGCTAACCACTTGCCAAGGGTGTTCAGGGACTGGAAGAGGCTGTAGTAACCCTGCTTTCTTTTGTTCGCTGCTCTTCATCCGTTGGCATGTGTCGCACGAGGTGACGAATTTTTGTACGTCATCCGCCATGTGGGGCCGATATTAATGCTTCGCAATACCGGAAAGCGTCTTGTTACTACCGAAGTGGCACGTGTAGAGAACATCATGATATTCTTCGAGCAGTAACTGGCATAAAGGAGGGTAATTAGGTACCCATATTTTTGTGGAGCCCTTGCGGTATGCGATGTCTTGATCCCATTGTAGAAGATGGCGCTTTTCTGATGCACAGACTTCGGGTCGATGGTGTATCCATGCGTGTAGAGTCCCTTCAAAAGTGGGTTCATGCCATCGACTTGTAGGGCGGCAACGTGTGCAGGGCGACTCAATGCGTCTGCCTTGTTCTTGTGCCCCGGCTTATACACGATGTCGTAATGGAAGTGGGTTTTGAGAAAGTCAATCCACCGGACCTGCCGCCTGGAGAGTGTTGGTTGGGTCTTAAGGTACTTGAGGCTGCAGTGGTCGGTGTAGATGGTCGTTTTTCTTCCTTCGAGATAACACCTCCATGCCTTCAATGCGTTGACGATGGCGAGGGCCTCTTTGTCATGGATGGGGTGATTGAGTTCTGCCCCGTGAAGTTTTTTACTGAGGTATGCAATGGGTTGCAGTCCCTTCCCTTGATCCTGCATGAGTACTGCGCCCACTGCTTGATCGCTAGCATCGGCCTCGATGACATAGTCAAGTTCAGGGTCTGGCAGGATAAGGACAGGTGCGGACGTGAGTGCGGTTTTAAGTTGTTCCACGGCTTCCTGGTGCATCGCCTCCCATTGATATGGTGTATTCTTCTTCAACAGGTTCGTTAATGGTGCGGCAATCTTGGCGTAGTTCGGTACGAACCGGTTGTAGTAGTTGGCGAATCCAAGGAACTGTTGTAACTCCTTCACGTTCTCCGGGGTCTTCCACATTCGCACTGCTTCGATCTTCTTAGGATCCACGTGAACTCCTTGAGCGCTCACCATGCGAAGAGAGTCAGGGAGCCGGGTGAGTATGTAGTAGAGGGTGATGTACATACGGGGGGGGTTCTTAGGCGCAGAACTCAGCAGGAAGCGCAGCGTGATAGCGAGTGTCACTAGTGCGGAGGTGCGTAATGAGGTCAGCGACTGTGGGAAAGGCAGCAAGGTCAGGGAAGAGGTACAGTAGCATGAGGTAGCTTAGTGCAGCAATGGCAGGGGAAAAGTAGCATGTAGCTACAGCGTCGTACAAGGTCTGAGCACTCTTGTACTGGCTAAAGTGTGCACGCTCAGTGGTCGGTAAGTGGCGGCACACAGCAAGGCAAGCAGCAGCATCACGCGTGGCCCACTGTGAGCGAACAATGGCGTCAGCATCAGCACTAAGGGCAGGAGAGGCACCAGAAGTGAGGTCAAACAGGGAGAGAGTGTCTGCCCTATCGCACTGTAGGAAAAGCTGCAGACCATCTATCCAGACCTCAGAGGCAACTGCCCGACCCTCAGCGTCAAAGGTGAGAACACTAGGGGAGGCCATGACAGCTGTAGACAGGTAGTGAGTACAGTGGGGCAAGGCAGTAGAGTGGCAGAGGCGCTGCTCTTACGAGGCAGGTGGGGCGGTCCCGGGCAGGTCGACAGGCGGTAGCGCCTCGGCTGCGGAGCGGCTCGGCGGCTCGTCTGCTGGGCGGCTCGGCGGTTGGTCGGCTCGGCTGCAGAGCAGCTGGGCTGCTCTACGGCTTTGCTGCTCAGTGGCTCGGCTGCTGGGCGGCTCGGCTGCTCGGCGGCTGGGCGGCTCGGCTGCTGGGCTGCTCGGCGGCTCGGGCGCTGGGCGGCGGAGCGGCGAGGGGGCCGCGGAAGGGCGGTGACGGGGCCGCTGAAAGGGCGGCGACGGGCCGCTGAAAGGGCGGCGACGGGCCGCTGAAAGGGCGGCGACGGGGCCGTAGAAGGGCGGCGACGGGGCGACTGAAGGGCAGCGACGGGGCCGCTTAAGGGCGGCGACGGGGTCGCAGAAGGGCGGCGACGGGGCCGCTGAAGGGTGGTGAGGGGGTTGTAGAAGGGTGGCGACGGGGCCGCGGAAAGGGGCCGCGAGGGCGGTGCGAAGGGGCCGCGAGGGTGGCACGACGGGGCCGTGATGACGGCGCGACGAGGCCACTAAGGGCCGTGAAGGGGAGTCACACGGGGCACGACTCGGTGAGGGGCCAAGCGCGGTCCGGGCAGGAAAAAAATGGTCGGTGGGCCCTAGGAACAGTTCCCACGGGGGAACCTGCTCTATGCCATGTGAGAATTAGAACGAGAATGATTGCATTGAGCAGAATGAGGAGTACAAGTAGCGAACCCTAAAGTGTTGTACCCCATATGAACTGCCCCACTACAGCCTACACAGACTATAGCATATATGCCTGACAGAATTTGTCACGTGGCAG